CGTTTTTTGCTCATGTTTGCCCCCCCCCCCTCCAGCCCATAAGAGCACTTTGCAGGGCTCTCAAACTCTCCGCATGCCCCGTTTTTCACAAAAATGAGGCATGCAGAGGGTTTGGGAGGTCTGCAGAGTGCAAACTTTTTTTAAAAATTTACCTCTTCAAAACTTTGGTGCGTCTTATACTCCGAAAAATACGGCAGTTCCAACTGCTAGGTTGGCAAAGCCAGCTTATGCCAACCTAGCAGTTCAAAAGCATGTGAAAAAAAATGCAAGTAGAAAAATAGGAGCCACCTTTGGTGGGAAGGTAACAGCGTTCCGTGCGCCTTCAGCGTTGAAACAGAGATGAGCACTGCCCCCTAGAGTCAGGAACGAATAGCACATATGTGTGAGGGGAACCTTTACCTTTATCTTGGATACCCAAATGCAGAGGGCATTCAAAGGACAGCAGAGAGTTAAAAGTTTCCGCATCACTTGGTGTTTCTAGAAATTGCAGGGTGGATTCCAAAGAAAAACGCCAAGAGAGATGCCAGGACTTTAATAAAAGTTTTTTTTTTAAGTTTATTAAGAAATTGTCCATAAATATTTACAACTCCGGGAGGATATGACCCCAGTCAATCGGGTAAGTCCTAACTGGCGGGGAAAGTTCATGTTCCTGAACTTGAGTCACAAGGAAGCTAGGAAACATGAGCCTTTTATCTTTCATCCTGGCAATCTTATAGCTTTTCCCCACTCCTGGTTCAGGAATAATTAGAAAGGGGAAATCAATGTTAGCATTCGCCCTCAGTGGAAAGGAAGAGAATAAGTAAGCACGCAATGAGGAACAGGCACGGGAAGGAATATCTTGGCACTAGCAAGCTCCTGGACTGGCCCTTTAAGATACAAAAGCAATGAAATTGATTAAAATTAGACAGAATACTAAAAAGCAGAGACATCCCTCTGCCAACAAAAGTGTGTTTAGTCAAGGCTCTGGTTTTCCCAGTTGCAATGGATGGCTGTGAGAGTTGGACCATAAGGAAGGATGAGCGCCAAAGAATGGAGGCCTTTGAACTCTGGTGCTGGAGAAGACAAAGGCTAAAATTTCTTCCCCCAAATAGGTGGAATAGGTGGAATTCAACAGTCTCTAAGCCCGATGTTAGGTTCATTTCGCCATAGGGCTTAGCTTCAGCAAACTGCAAAAATGTCTGGGGAGATTTTCAGAAAAAGCTCCTTTGGGACAAGGTACCAAAATTTAGATTGAGACCAGGGTTGTATCATTGGGAAGTCTAAGCCAAATTCCTCATCATCTTCATCAAATTTGCTACACCCTACTAAAAGTGAATCCAGTTAAGAATGAGAATTACTACACAATTTCTTCCTTGAGCATAAAAAAGAAAATTCCTACATTTCCAACATGGAAACCCCCAGTTTCTCAACCGTGGCTACTTTTAAGATACATGGATTTAAACTCCCAGAGTTTCCTAGCCAGCATGCTGGGGATTCTGGGAATTGAAGTCCACACATCACATCTTAAAATGCCCTGTATTTTGAGACACTCCAGACCTTGGAAAGAAACTTTCTGAAGCCCTCCAGATCTGTCTCAGTAAGTCAAATTTCAGCTTTTGGGCCCCTGATTTTCAAATCTGCCAAAATACTGGCCATCGCTGAGAGATTCTGTTTCTTGGATTGGTTTGATTAGCTCCTGTTTTATATTAAAAACAGAATAACAGAGTTGGAAGGGACCTTGGAGGTCTTCCAGTCCAACCCCCTGCTCAGGCAGGAAATGACCATTTCAGACAAATGACTGTCCAATCTCTTCTTTAAAAACTTACAGAGTTAGAGCACCCACAATTTCTGGAGGCAAGTTGTTCTACTGATTAATTGTTCCCACTGTGGGGAAATTTCTCCTCAGTTCTAAGTTGCTTCTCTCCTTGATTAGTTTCCACCCATTGCTTCTTGTTCTACCCTCAGGTGCTTTGGAGAATAGTTTGACTCCCACTTCTTTGTGGCAGCCCCTGAGATATTGGAAGACTCTCCCCTAGTCCTAATTTTCATTAAACTAGCAATAGCAATAGCAGTTAGACTTATATACCGCTTCATAGGGCTTTCAGCCCTCTCTAAGCGGTTTAC